GAACTAACAATATACTTAGAACTAGAATCATTCGGGTTTAGCCGTCTTAAGAGACGTGTGGCTAAACCCGAATGATTCTAGTTCTTGGTTTAGTGTTAGTTCTAGATTTGCATTAGCACTGTCACTAGAACTAACACTAGAACTAGAATCATTCGGGTTTAGCCGTCTTAAGAGACGTGCGGCTAAACTCGAATGTTTCTAGTTTCTAGATATAGTGCTAATTCTAGTTTTGCATTAGAACTAACACTAGATCTAGAACTAGAATCATTCGGGTTTAGCCGTCTTAAGAGACGTGTGGCTAAACCCGAATATTTCTAGTTTCTAAGTCTAATGTTAGTTCTAGTTTTACACTAGCACTGTCACTAGACCTAGAACTAGAATCATTCTGGTTTAGCCGTCTTAAGAGACGCAAGGCTAAACCAGAACGTTTCTAGTTCGAGGTCGAGTCTTAGTTCTAGAACTAGCACCAGAACTAGAATCATTCCGGTTTAGCCGTCTTAAGAGACGCAAGGCTAAACCTGAATGTTTCTAGCTCTAGGTATAGTGTTAGTTCTAATGCTAGTGTTAGTTCTACTTTTAGTTGTTATTCAACGTTACATTATAGTATATTTTTCATAGAACTAGAACTAACACAATTTTTCATATAACGAACTTTTGGCTATAACAGACACTCCCTTTCCCCTTATTATTATTATTATTATTATATTAATCCGTTATATTGAGATTTTACTATATTATTTTAATTTTTACCTTCCTGCTGCAATTTCGATACATTCCTTCCATCTCGAAGCCCTCTCAGTCTTTCCAGTTGCTATTGTGTGATATTGAAGTTGCCTATTTCTTAATTCGTCGTTTAAATAAGATACCGATGAAGCGACGGCTCTCCAAAGTAAATAATTAGCTTGCGTTCTAAAAATGTTTAACTCAATTCATAACAACAATAATTAAAAAATGATTTTTATACAACCTTTTCGAAGTATTCTTTATTAAATCATCGAAATCTTTGAGATATTTCGGAATACTAACGATAACCACTTCGTTATCATCAACTTTCGTATCGGGCGCCAAAAGAACGTTAAAGTATTCCTTCCAATTAACAATCGGATATTTGGATTGAAGCTCGGAAACGGTCATCGGATTGTATAAAGCGGAAGCGTTTCGTCGTTTTTCGTTTGGAAGTGAAATCTGTGGATGAGACGTTATTAAAACCGTTCGTTTTTGGTGTGTTAAATAAATTTTAAGCGTTTACATTAGCTAGTTTGATTTCGAAATCGAGCGATTCCTTAAGTTCTTTTTCGGCGTTGGTTTTGTTTGCCCCAAAAATTACTGCTATATCAACCATGTAGTCGTAATAAGCTTTCACTAATTTATCTTCGACTCCTTTTATTAAAAATTCGCGTCTTAGTCCCAAAGATGCTTGATCCAACTAAAAGAAAATGTTTTAATTCTGTTATTAGTTATTAATTAAATTAAATTACATCAATAACGCGTTTCGTTGAATTTTTAAGATCAATAGCTACTGAGAAATCAATGAGATAATCAACGCTATACCCAGATTTTCTAAATTTATAAATAGTTTGTCTCCAATCAAATTCTTGATCTTTGAATTTATCTCCTTCGAGTACGGGCCATCCCCCTAACTCATTCACGATTCCTTTAATTGTTTTTAAACCGTCTTTTTCAATGAGGGTTTTATTCATACAAGCTCTGTATAACTTCTTGGTTAAAACGAAAGGTTTAGGTTCATCTTTTCGTATTGGCTCTTCAATCATCGTTCTTAATTGTTCTTGGAGTAAATCGCTGATTACGCTAAACGTGGTCACTGAAGATTTATCATCGGGGATGTTGGTTTTTTTCACGAAATTCCCGCAGGCGAAATCGTAAAAATCATCGCATGGATCAACGGATTCATCGATAGTTTCCAAAACTTTTGATGCTGTGTGAATACATCCCGGTGTTAAACACACCTTTGTTTTGTGTTCTTTATTACTTCCGGGATAAGCTTCAATGATTGTGTTGCCGTTGAGCGCCTCTGCATTATAAAGGGCACCTACGGCGATGAAAACTTTAGGAATTAATAACGTGACATAAACGGAGATTGTCAAAATTTGACATATCATCGCTTAATGATGTCTTTTTGAATAGTTATGAAGCAATAAAAAAACAAGGAGATAAGAGGAAATGTCAGGGTTAGTTTTATTTTAATTTCGTTATGATGGTTTTGTTGTGACACATTTTTAAATATAAAGAAGTTTTACCTGTTTCTGAAATATCTCGACTTTTGCATAGTACTATTCCCAAGGCTACAGCTAACGATACTGCAATTAAACCAACCAGGATTCCACTTAACATTAAGATTCTTTCCATACTTGTCCTCCGTTTCCACCATGTTGGGTTTCTATTAACATTTTGATAATAAAAGTAAGCATCAAAATCCATAAAATGAAGCTTGATATTAAATTACAATAAAAATAATATTACAAATTAAAATTCGGTTAGATTTTAGACCTTTTGTTTCTATGTTAAAGAAATCGAAGAAAAGGGAAAGTTTCTTATTTTTTTTAGAAAGTTTCCACTTCGACAGTTGGATTATCAATTAACAATTACGCACAGTTGGTGCAAAAAAGAACCATGTAGTTTTCGAAAGTCTTTGTGTTTTTTTGCCCTTGTACATGCTCGAACGTTGAACCGTAACGACTTAATTTACATACATATAAGTTCGCGTTAAATTTCAGATTGCGATTGAAATATTAACATTTATTCGTTCAATAACGTTTTTTTTATAAATAAATTTTTTTCCTGGAAAGTCGCATACAGCCCAATAATTATTTCTGGCCTCGTTATCCAATAACCGGAGATCACGAGACTGTACAGTTTTAAGCACGTGTAGGTATTTTTAAAAACGCCAACTATAAATCATCCTAACCAACAAGTAACTCACAAAAACGTTGACAAAACTACGTAGAGTTTTAATTTATTAATTCCGTCCTTAAAATTAGTTGCTGTGTGCTTAATTTTCGATTTCATTTTGGTCGTTTTGTTTTTTAAACCCGCATCAAAAAAGAATTATTTAAAAAAGATACTGGAAAACACCAACAGGCAATTAGCCAAAACGATTTCCCTTCACTATGTTTTTAAAATTGCTACCGTTGGCACTAAAAGATATGGTTTTGCGACGGTGTAAAAGATATAAGTGTTTTTGTTATGTAGGAATTTCAATTTTGTTGTGTTATCGGTAGTTTGTGACGTTAGAAATATATTAAAAAGAAACGTAATATTTGCTTTTTAATGAATTGTCTTTCTTTAACAATTTACATTAATTCCAACCTTATAATTATAATTGGTGTAATTGAAATTCCTCTTTGTAATTATAACAATCACGTAGAATGGAAATCTCTCTTTGTGGGTGTCTCAAAACGTGGATGTGATTAACCTGCTTGTTCGGAAAGTCATCAATTTGGAAAAATTCCTTCCCCAAAAATTGAGTTAGCAGTTAATAACGACCGCTACATTAATTATCTTCTTCCAATTAGAACTTTGTAAGATAATTAACGATAATAAAGAGTTCTGTAAAGACATAAAGTTCCCCAAAAAAATATAGGGAATGAAAAGTTACCACAAGATAATTTGAGAATTGTATTCGGCAGCTCCAGAAGTATTTGGTATTAAATTATTTACTTACTTAGGTTGGAATATACGAACAAAATTCCATCATCAATTCCCATCACCATCTAACGATTACCACGACATATGTGGAAGTTAGTGAGAGGATGGTTTGGAGGGCAATTAAATTAATGACAACTTTTTGAGACATTTATAAATGCAGAAATAATACTATGTCGATGATTAGCTGGGGTAACGAATAGATAGAGTGAGAAACGAAAGGATAAGGGAGATAATGATCTACAATGCAGAATATTCAACAAGAACAGCTAATCTGGCACAAATACGCCAGAACAAAGAATTCCAAAATTTGCTTTCTAATGGGCTTCGACACAATGGAAGAACCGAGGAAGATCAGAGATTATCTGGATAAGCGGTATTCAGGAGCCAATATTGGAAAGAAATCTGAGGCCAGGCGATTGGGAGGATAGAAGAGGCTGAAAACGAGGGAAAGTTTGAATGAGATGTAGTACAATCTAACCCAACCTAACTCAACCCAATCCAATCCAATCCAACTCAACCCAACCCAACCCAACCCAACCCAACCCAACCCAACCCAATCACAATGTTGCAATAAAATCCTTAATAGCTGGGTTTATAGTAACACAAAGATGCTGAAGGTATGGAGGTGTCTCAGAAGCAGGGGCCACTTCCGGTGGAGGCACTACAATATATTCTGTCAATACAAACATGTATTGAATTAAACTTTTTTGGATACTTTTATTGCAGTAAAACTAGAACTAACACTACACCTAGAACTAAAAACATTCGGGTTTAGCCGTCTTAAGAGACGTGCGGAATACAATTTCAACCAACCGTATAAGGTCATATTTAGTAGCAGGGATGATTGGGCGAAAGGAGGGCCTCAACTAAAAAGAGGAGCCCTAGCCTGGCACACCGATGCTTCAAAGACAGTAAGATCTGGAGTAGGCATGGGCATCAGTGGACCAAATAGCCACATCAAATTGCCCCTCAACTCGGACCTAACAATTTTCCAAGCAGAAGTTCTTGCTATAAACTTCTGCACCGCTTTGAACCTACAGCAGGGACAAAAAGGTGCATCCATAAACATTTTCACAGACAGTCGGGCCGCCTTAAAGGCAATTCAGGCCTACACGTGTGGCTCCGCACTGATCAGAGAGTGCACCAACAACCTGAGAGAACTCGCTAGGGGCAATGATGTTACCCTATGGTGGGTTCCAGGTCACAGCAACATTGAGGGCAATGAGAAGGCCGACAAGCTGGCCAAAGAGACTACAAAAAAGCCACCTAAAACAAATAATCAACAACTGGGAGCCTTCAAAGATAGCCTTACGCTGGAAAGAACTTCCAGGTCACAGACAAGCGAAGAGTATGATAACTCCGTCGCAAAACAAAACCAAAGAGGTTTTATGCCTCACCAAAGGGGATCTAAGAACGCTCTCAGGCTACCTGACCGGCCATGTGCCCCTAAAATACCACCTCTTCCACATTGGACAAGCTGAGGATCAAACTTGTCGACTATGCAACGACGAGTCAGAAACTGCTGAACATATACTGTGCAATTGCGTCGCCAGAGGACGTCTAAGGCACAACGTCTTCGGTAAAACTCCCCTATTACCTACCGACATAAAGGTTCAAGACCTCAGGACAATACTAAGGTTGATTAAGGACCTACATTTACCCTAAACCTTTGAAGGGCTAAAGTTACAATAGATCTTATAGGTCGCGGTAACGAGAGGGGTCGCCCTCCTCAGCCCGGCAGCAATAATAATGATAATAATAATAAGAGACGTGCGGCTAAATCCGAATGTTTCTAGTTCTAGGTCTAGTATTAGTTCTAGTGACAGAGCTAAACCCGAATGATTCTTGATCTAGTCTAGTGATAGTTCTAGTTTTAGTAGTTCCTCAAATATCTGAGCATATGATGCAAATGGGTTAAGTTATAATGATTTAATACAAAAAATTAAGCAATAAAATTCTTATAATAGATTTTAAGTTTAATAACTTTACAGATTCACAGTTATTTGACTTTTAAACGTCAATTTGACAATAAAACGTCAATATCGTTAAAAATCTACATCTCAAAAAACTCAAAAATCAGTTAATTTAATGTAAAAAATCTTATGGAAACACTAAAATTAGTGAAATATATTACTATAAATCAAAAAAGTTATAAATAAAACTGGTATGAAATATTCGATACTCATCAAAACATTTTCAAAAATTTAGGTTGGTACGATTTTAGAGATATGTGTTAAACGTCAAATTGACGTTTAATGTCAAGATGACATTTGTATGTCAAAATTATTAAAAAGATCAAAAAGGGTTAGAAATAGAACAAGAAAAATAAAATATCGATAAGAAAGTTGGATGGAAAATGGAAAAATATAGCATTTATTAGAATGAAATAATGAACACCATTATTGCAAAATGATCTGTACAAAAAGTAAAAATATTATTTGACTTTTAAACGTCAACTTGACAATTAAACGTCAACAACGTTAAAGAAAGTAGATATTAAAAAAACACGAAAATCAGTTAATTTGATGAAAAAAATCTTTTTTGAAATATTAAAAGTGACGAAATATACTGATATATCATAAATGTTATAAAAAAATTGGTAAGAAATATTAGAAATACATCAAAAGATTTCCAAAAATTTAGGTTGGTACCATTTCAAGGAAATGTATGGTGATTTGTAAACGTCAAAATGACGTTTAAACGTTAAGATGACATTTTTGGTTTAACTACTATTTAGAAGAATTTGTTTTATTTAAAAAAAACTTGAAACAATACTGAATGCATTGCCAACGATTCCACCATCTCAGTTTCTTTCATGAAGACAACATTGCAGGAATTCTTGTAACTATAAAATTCACATTCACAATTAATACTAACACCGTTCACCGAAAAGATAAAATGTTCAACGACACAGACAGTGATGATTAGAAATATGTACTAATGCAATAATACTAATCGTGATTGACGGCTTCAAATCGATTGATTTAAGATTGCAGATAAACTCCTTTATTTTTGTAAGATAAGAAATGGTTTATATTTTAAATTAAAGCTAAATAAGTCTAATTCAAAACATACAAGTAAAACAGAGATGTTTAATAAGAAAAATATTTAGAAAAGTAATGTTGAAAATAAAGATAAAAACATGTTACTTAAACGGTGAATTTCTTATTTCTTCTAAACGAAGGTTAAATTTTATTAAAGATATTAACAATTGTAAAGCATATTAATTTTTTTTTACATGAAAAATAAAAATAAATTTATATTTTTCCCTAATTAGCAACCATCTAATTTAATAAATCTTAATAGAATTATAATATACCTGCGAGATATTCTTAAAAAAACGCAAAAAATAACACCGAATCAACTACTAGTAGAACGTGTTAATTGTGAAATAAGTTTTCTAAAAAAAATCGAGAATAATGAAGACGTTTCGGTTCAAAATAAAAATCTTATCGTAACTTTAGAAGGTGGTTATAAAAATTTATCATCAACCTTTATAAAAATTATTGAAGGAAAAATTTCGTAAAAATCTTTTTATTCTCAACTCGTAAAGTGATCGAAGGAATCGTCGTTAAATCCCCTCTCACCATTAGATTCGGAAACGGAAGTACCCATTAAATCCCCTCTCAATCGTTTCGTAAATCCCCATCGATAAATCTTAAAAACCCATACTCACAGGTCCAATTCGGATTTTGTCCTGAAGACGATGTAATGGATTCGATTTAACACCATCACTATTTATTCTATTTAAATTTTTCTTCATAAAAATAAAATGATATTTTAAAAAGTATCCTTTTAAGATCGATCACCGAGCACAAACTGAAATCGTTTAGTTGAGATGGTCGAATATATGATGAGACGAGACCTCCCGATAGCTCTACACCTTTCTCGTTAATTTTTAACGAAGGTTGTGTTCAAATTAGGTGTTAATCAAGCGGTGTGGTTATTCGCTCTTATTGGGTAAATGAAAGGTACGACAGAGAAAATACTGCTCTCGAAAGCGGTAAATACTTTGCAAATATTTGCTACATCACAAAAAAGGAGAATTGGTCGCCGGGTTCAACCGTAACAGTATCCGCTTTCAGGAAATTTCCTCCTCAAACATCAACTTTAACATTATTGAATCATTTTATTTTTTCTTTTTGTTCTTTCTACTTGTTATTGTTATTCTACGAAATATTTTATGATCAATTATAAACGGTTATTGAAAAAAATTAAAATGAAACGCATGCTTTATCCTTCCGTTTGAATAATATTATAATTGATCTCACATATTTCCGCTTCGTCATATTCTAATTTTTTTACGGTTAATCCTGTTGATATATTTTTTGAATTTTTGTTTTTTTGGCAAAAGAACAAAGTAAAAAATATAATTAGTACGCACGAAAAGTTAGTCTAAAAGTTTTAAAATAATTATTGGAATCGATTGCGTTAACCGTGACGTGAATATTGGCTTGAGTTAAAAGAAAAAAAATGTTTTTGCTGACTACTACTACCAATTTGTACCAGATACTTTAACTTTCTATTCCGTAAGTTGTGTCGAACAGTGCTTCGACCTTAAGATGTTGAATTTATGAACGGTTTGAAATTTAACCTTATATTTCGCGAGCGTTGTCCTCAATTTTTCTAATTTGTACTAGATGATAATAGATCATTTTGAATTTGATTATAAATGCAGTCGTTGACATTTTTTTAATAAATAGAACAGTGTAGGCGAATTTAATCGAATAAATTCAAGGTGGTTTGGATAACTTACAACATTGATTATAAATAATAACGTTGTCTTTACTTATTTTTTTAATGGGTCAAGAATATGATAAATCTTTTTAATTAAGTTTAAAAAGATCAGATTTCAAAAAATTTGCATAAATTCTCGTAGTTACCAGAAATTTTCACATAAATATTTGAATAAATAGGTGTTAATCGTCCATCAGTAACCTCGTCTTATTTGTTATGAGGTTTAATTAAGAAGTAATTAAAAGAAAAATTATTTTTTTAACGTCTAAATTAATTTACAAAGAATGGAAAAGTCAGAATTCTATGTAAGAACGATTGCTATTTTATAAAATGATCTCAGTGGTGTTTACAATTTCTTCTTTATTTTAATATGTTCATAATTATTAATGCAACATGTTTTTATGGAAATCGTAAAATTTTAAATTCATTTTACGTAAAACTTAAAAAAAAACGGATTGTTTACAGACTAGTTTAAATTAAATTAATTAGCATAATCGTATATGAATAATATTGCACCACAGATTTCGTTCATCATATAATTAGCAAAATAACAAATCAAATTGATAACTGAGCTTATACAATCCTGGATTATGCACGCTGTGGCTCAAAGGAAAATCCTTTAATTATAGTCTCATAGAAGTGCAGCTGACAATAGGCAAACATAGCCTACACAAAGAATCCAATAGCAATGGCACTAAACTAATAATCCTGGCATTGAACAAAACAATATTGATATAATACAGAGAGATCTACATGTACAAATGGTTGCCACAACAATGCCACAGCCATCCAGCTTTTTGATGAAACTGCATTAAAAGCAGTGACTAGATTAACGTGCTGTAACAGGAGAAGAACTAGATATCCAAGATGTTATTAGATTCACAAGATCAAAACGAAGATATTGAAGAGACCATGTCAATAGAATGGACCACCTAAGACCACCCTCTCAAGAAAATAGAACTAACACTAGACCTAGATCTAGAAACATTCGGGTTTAGCCGCACGTCTCTCAAGACGGCTAAACCCGAATGATTCTAGTTCTAGGTCTTGTGTTAGTTCTAGTNGAATTTTGTAGTTACAAGAATACCTGCAATGTTGTCTTCATGAAAGAAACTGAGATGGTGGAATCGTTGGCAATGCATTCAGTATTGTTTCAAGTTTTTTTTAAATAAAACAAATTCTTCTAAATAGTAGTTAAACCAAAAATGTCATCTTAACGTTTAAACGTCATTTTGACGTTTACAAATCACCATACATTTCCTTGAAATGGTACCAACCTAAATTTTTGGAAATCTTTTGATGTATTTCTAATATTTCTTACCAATTTTTTTATAACATTTATGATATATCAGTATATTTCGTCACTTTTAATATTTCAAAAAAAATTTTTTTCATCAAATTAACTGATTTTCGTGTTTTTTTAATATCTACTTTCTTTAACGTTGTTGACGTTTAATTGTCAAGTTGACGTTTAAAAGTCAAATAATATTTTTACAGATCATTTTGCAATAATGGTGTTCATCATTTCATTCTTGTAAATGCTATATTTTTCCATTTTCCATCCAACTTTCTTATCAATATTTTATTTTTCTTATTCTATTTATAACTCTTTTTGATTTTTTTAATAATTTTGACATACAAATGTCATCTTAACGTTTAAACGTCATTTTGACGTTTAAAAACCAACACATATCCCTAAAATCGTACCAACCTAAATTTTTGGAAATGTTTTGATGAATATCGAATATTTCAAACCAGCTTTTTTATAACTTTTTTGATTTATAGTAATATATTTCACTAATTTTAGTGTTTCCATAAGATTTTTTACATTAAATTAACTGATTTTTGAGTTTTTGTGATGTAGATTTTTAACGATATTGACGTTTAATTGTCAAATTGACGTTTAAAAGTCAAATAACTGTCAGTCTGTAAAGTTCTTAATTATAAAGACTTTATTGTTTAATTTTTTGTATTAAATCATTATAACTTAACCCATTTGCATCATATTAATAATATTATAATATTTTGTCCTAAATTAACATTTAATTTTAGTTTCCAATTCGATGAATATGTTTTTGTCATTCCGTCTAGGCGAGTTCAAGGTGAATGAGACGGCCAACTTAAAAAGTAATTCTGAGCGCCAAATAAGGTATTTTTACACTTTTATTAAATTTGGTTATAACGTGATTTCCGCAACGACTGGCTCCTTTTGATATCGATTAACGAAGATAACGGATTCTATGCACCAATAACAATTAGATTTATGTAAATATAAACAGATAAAACCGGTATCGTTTAGATTATTAACCATTTTATTAATTTATTCTTGGCATATCAACCGTTTTAACGTTTCGTAATATAATTTATTCAATTTAATATCCCGTGTGTTGTGCATAAAATGTAAATACAAATATATATAGATATCAGAATTTCGTTGCAAAACAGCCATAAAGTTCTCTTGAATAGAACTGGTCATCCGAATATCAGTTACACAACAACGATTTTATGTGGATTAAAAACAATGTTTTATTTTATAAAAATTAAAAATGCACGTCATATCTCATTGAGTAATTTGTATTTAGTTATCAAAGTGGTGTTTATTTAACGAATTATAAACATAATTAACCCCGGGTTCATCTTTGTTTTATTTTCGTTTTTCTCGATACAAGGAAAAGGATAAAAAGATAAAATAGGAAGAGTTTTTATTTCTTGTTGTTGCGGCAAGGGTTTTGACATTTTAAAACCGATCCTATTTTCGTTAAATTACACTCTACCGAGATCGAGAACGGCGCAATCGCGCATTCTTCGTTGAGGTTTTGTTAGTAAGTAAATCGAGGCCATTGTTCGGTCTCTCATTTATTTACCTATTTGTTGTCGTGCGGATTAATTTCTTAAAATCAAATGAGAATAAACTATGACCCGCCGGTTATAAGCGGAACTTAATGACGCATTTCAAGTTTATTTTTAATTACACCGAGTCAATTAATAAAAGAAGAGGTCTTGTAACAATGTTTACAAGAGTTGTAAAGAAGAAAAACGATTTGAATAAAATTATTACGAAGAATTATGTATAAAAAAATCCTCATTTACGAGGTGCATATTCAAAGTTTAAAAATAAAAAATATAATTACTGTTTTTTAAAAGGACTTTATAAGGTTATTAATGATAATAGACGTAGTCTTTGAGCCGTGTAATTTGAGTTGTTATATAATGCAGATTACAAGAAATCTAAGAAAAGTTTACGTCGTTAAAATCCAAATGAATCATAAACGGGCGTGTTAAATATTTTAAGTACCTATGCATATACATGATTTCTTTTAATTCGTACTTTTTCACAGCAAATTTACAAATCGTATAATATGAACAAAAAGAATACAGTAAAAGTTTATATGGCGTTTTTTCTTTTGTTACTAAACGGACTTATTGTTGATTGAAGTAAAGTGTTTATTTAAAACATTGATTTTTTGTCAATAAAATATTCTACATTTTTTAATTTTCTTTGTGTAACTTAGGAATGTCTTTAATGTTTCCAGGCGATTGATCGAGGCAGCCTTTAGACCCCAGATGTTAGCTCCATATAACCAGACATAACCTTTGATCATTCTTTGATGCAAGTTTAAGTTTAAGTTGTAGTTACAGAAAAATGATTTCATTCTTAGAAAAGTTGTGTGAAAAATTCTGCACTTAATTTGGATCTAATTCGTTTTTTTCGAAAAAAACTTGATGAAGATTTTATGCAAGAATTAAAGTAGATAAAATTCATCAAAGATAATATAATTTTCACAGAGATCTGATACAGACGTAATAAGGTCGGCAAAATTGATTCAGATGTTGTAGAAACATGAAGTCTTGATGCACACTTGATGGAGTATCTATTAAATCAGAAATGATTATGGAGATTTGTTACAGATTTTTATGGTATCTTAGACAGTCTTAGAAGCAAAATTCATGCAGACCTGATAGTTATATGATGCAATATTAATGTAGTTTACACAAAAATTTGATTTAATAGAAATATGACGTAGAGTTGATGCATAGGTGATGCAAATACATACGTAATGAAGACTGGACGGAGATTTTATTCAGTTTTGAAGGAGAAGTCTTGATTCTGTACAAACTTACTTTGATAGAAATATGGTAGAGACTTTATGTATAGATGATGTAGTTTTTATGCAGAAACAAGGCATGGACTTAATGCGAAGATGATTTAGACTTATCTGGATGCAGAAAAGATGAAGATTTTAGACAAATGATAGAATTAAAAGTATTAATGTATTTATCAAGTCAGAAAGCAATGATTCGGAGAAAAACTCTAGATACGGTCACGATCTAGATTAAAAGTTAATAGTCAGAAGACAATACTAAGATTTGATGCAGTCTTTATGTAAACTTGATTCCGCACAAATTTACCTTACTTAATGTAATGTCATGTAGATTTTATGCAAAGACTTTATTCGTAGTTGTTTGGATACAGAAAAGATGGAGACTTAATGAGAGTTGCTACATTTGGAAAGAATCTTGATGCATTTTTGCAAGTGATGTCTTTATTTCGAGAAATTACACCTCCAGGAAATTTCACTCGTATTTTTTACTTTATTTCTCTTTGCTTTTCTGTATTCCTCTGCATTGTACTTGCATTATTTTTGTTCCATAAGGTTTAGTATTTCTTCTGTCATCCAGGTTATTTGCTTTGCTTATCCCTTACTCTATATTCTTCCAAATCTTGATGATTCATTTTTATTTTGTTTTTGCAACGTTTAAAATCGATTGTGGTCAGAGTCAATATACTCTCTTCAACGGAGTATATATAGTCACTAAATCTTTTGTTGATAAGAATGTAGTGAACAATTTATTATGTTAATATTTGAAATTTTGGAGCAGTTTTAATTTATTCCTACTCTGTTGTAATAATCTTCTAATGATACTAATAGTGTCTTCCCTAGAATTCAGTTTAAATATTTAATATTATGAATCATTTAACTGTAATATTAACTGAGTCATGAAGGACTGATATCAAATAACTGAATAACCTAACAGTTATTTAAGAGTTAAAAGCATAATTATGGGGTTACTTTAACTCTTTATGTTATTTCAAAGCTATTTAAAGAAGAGAAGTTCTAATTAACTTAAATCAATCATGAAGCGATGATTTTGAACAGTGAAATAACAATAATAAACATTGAGCAAAACTTTAATATATATTTAATTTTTTATAATCTTTTATTGTTTAATAACAAAATTGACGTTTTCTTACAAAAATAGTATAGATTTACTTTTTTAAGATATCTTGTCCACGCGGAATTTACAAATCGAGTTCAAAGTTGCCATTTAATCTGTTAAATGTTTAATATGCTACATGGATTAATTATTCTATTTTTGTAATTTGTACCACGAATTTAAATAGTCATGTTAAGCTATAATTTATCTAGTTTTTGTATTTTTTGTGTCTGGAAGTTACTAGATCGTTTTTAAAAATTCGGCGTGTTTCTGTGGCAAAGTAATTACTCAAAACTTGTCAGTTTTCGGTATTTTTAGTCTTCAACGTTTTATACAAAAAAAAATGTTTTAATTTAATACTTTTTGAACGAAATTTTACTTTAAATAACTTTAAAAAACTTACTTTATAACGGTCTGTTTCACCCCTGTCGTCATTTTTTTTACAAAATTTCACTAAATCACAATTAAAAGAATGGTTTTAAGCGATTTTTTTTTGGTCGATTGTTTTTAAGTTAAAATCAAAAAATTAACGCACAAAAAATGAATAGAATTGTTTTTATAAAAATCCTTCATTGGTCGTCAAATGCACGTGTTTTTTAAATGTAATACCACCACGGATCACGATTCAATATTGAATCTCTATAACGACACCGTTACAGCCATCGGCAGGACTGGCATAGCGAAGTACTCCAGAAGTGGATTATATATATAAAGGCTTGTCCCCACTTGGTGACAAGGCCCGGCGCTGCATGCTTCGTGCACAGTTCGAAGGGCGACAAAACACTTTTCAAAAATAATACAACCAGTTCATTTTCAAAAACGAGAAGAATTTTTTCGTTAGTTCTTTATTAAAAGAACTTTTTTAATTCATAAAAAATTCATAAATTGTTTATTTTCTTTTTGAACATCCCGTATTTAAACATTGCAGCGATATCAAATAAAAAAAGTAAAAAGAAATGCACGCTCAACGTTATTATGTCATTATACATCAAATACTAACCGGGACACAAACGAGCGCAAACTTATCGTAATTGCATCAGCAAATATTTACCATTGGACGTAATGATTTAGAATGTGTCAGGATGCGAATTTATTTCAAAATGAACCACACATAAAATTAATTCCAAGATTTCGAAAAATTAATTAATTAATTAGATCAATCTTTGTATGTTTCATAATTATATTCAAAAAAGTGTTTACAAAACAGTTCAAAGTTTAATTTATAATTAATGAGAAAATTGAATACGTCGAAATCTTGGCACCGAATGATATTGATTTTCATAATAGTGTTTTGGTGGTTATCAGGCACTACCCAGTTATTTGTTCAATTAACTCATGGTTCTGTTTGTCTACTGTTTATTATTAGCTTAACACTGGTTAACACAATATTGGATTTAAATATTGCTTCGCTTCGTATATTCACAATTATTATTATTAATTTCGATTTAACGTTATAAACTAAAAATATAAAAACTTTCATCATATTTTCTTAGCTACGATAGAAAACGATGGCTATTATTTATCCATTTATGAATTTTGTATCATTTATAAAGGTTTCGCGTTCAGCATTGTTAGAAATAAAACTAAAACTGGAAACTTCCGGATTATGCCACTCTATCTTTAACGTTCTGAAGCAAGTTCAAAAGTGACTTCACTTTTACCGGTATAATCATTGTTTATAGTTCATCAATGTGTAGTTTTGCGGTCAAGATCGAAAGATGTCAATGTACATTTGAACTACATTGTTTGTAAAAATGCTCAAGTTATAGAAATCGAGATATAAATATAGTAAATAAGCCGAGAACGCTTGCGGGCGAGGCATTCTCATTCTGGTCAATACTTAAACGAAGAATCCTTTATCCCGTTTAATTAAGCTGACTGAGGTACTATATTTAATATTAATTAATCTGAAGCCGGTCTATACTTTGTAGCGCCTCGACTAATCTTAGACAAAGAATCTTTTGCTACACTAATTAAGCAACAATTACAATTAATATCATGTCAACCCGAAACTGGTCAATGCAATGTAATGGCTTTCTGCATCATTCTACTGAGACATCACGCCCACTGGTAGCATTTTCTATTTTATCTTTTTTTNGCATAACAATTAATATCATGTCAACTCGAAACTGGTCAATGCAATGTAATGGCTTCCTGCATCATTCTACTGAGACATCACGCCCACTGGTAGCATTTTCTATTTTATCTTCTTTTAAAGAGGCCTTAAATCTTATAGTCCAGGCTGTGATGGGTTGGCTATCATACGGCCAACAATGATGTCCAAATCTTCTTGAATCGCTTTCCATCTATGGAACTTGAATGGAGTTTCCTCGACATCATTGTATTCAGTATCCGCGTGAAGAAACGCCATGCAGTTCATTTTTGCTATCTTCCATAGACAATTCTGGAAGAATCCGTGTCCTGTTATAAACTGACTAAATAGTACTGGTACCTACTTTATAGGTGTAAAATTGTTAACCCATCTCCAGTGATATCCGGCAGTAGATGTTCTTTGCAGTTTGGTGTTTGATTTCGTTTTATACAGTTCTTTTCTGCTTTCATGTACTAGACTATTTAGGTTGTATCTTGTTTTTATCACTATATTTGTATCGTTAAAACCGTTACTTTTCTTGCTATAATGACCTTTTCAATTTGTTCATTTAACGTCATTATTTACTGCATATACACCTAACATTCTTAATTTACCATGTATTATTAGATCTATCCTTCCAATTCTTTCATTTACCATGTTGTTGTAAAATTCCTGGAACCTGAGTGTATTTCAACAGACCTTTGGGTTGGGTTGGGTTTTAATTCATTTTCCTTCTCTTTTCTTTAGTTCAATGTCTTCAGCTTTGTCCGAAGTTCTTCATTAGAGCCTTGATTCCAATGACTCAATCAAATTTTTTTGTCATATTATTCAAGTGATGTATTCTGCAACGTTTTTTCATAATAATGGCAAAAATTAAATATGAAAAGCAATTCCTAAATTAACTAAGTACTTAAGCACGTACAGTTTTAATGATTTATATAGAATAACACGGTAATAACTCATAACTGTACGCCTCATATACTTAAGAATTTGTTTTGCTCAAGGAATACTATACATATAGTGAATGTTAAACGTTTGAAAACAATAAAATATCGATAACAAAAAGTACTTATACATAGAATAATTAGATCAAATTATATTTTGTGTAACTAAATAACGTTTTTCTTGATTGGAAATTTTACCGTGATTTATTTACGTGAAGGAGCGGATTTATTTATAAAATTAACATTAACAACAATACATATAAAAAACCACAAAGAAATTATTTCCACATAAAATTTTTGGACTTTAGCGGTTAAATAATTCCTATTGTAATATGGGTTTTCAGTTTATACGTAACACATAAATTTATTTTTAAAATGTGATATAATAAAATACCAGAAAAATATTCTTGTATTAACGATTAAAATATCATTTCAAACTAAGCATGGTATATCAATAGAAAAGACATTGACCTAAACAGGTTATACCGTTACATACTTAAACAGTTCACAGAAATATCCTATCTGAAGAGTTACAGTCTCATAAACATCTGTTCATCCATAAGGTGTGGTTCTTTACTATTTATATAAATCTTGGTATTTTCTTCCTTTACTTCGTTTTCATGGAGATTTTTTACTTTTACGTTGGATGATTATTCAGTTTCGTATCCGCGTTTGGTATTCGAAACTCGTTCCTCAACTTGTTATTGTTTCGTGGTTAGTTATTCATCTCGAGATATATGTAGGACCACCACTGGGTCAAGGAACTGCTTACAATTCAGGTTACCTACATGCGGTACCTGTTCGAATTTGTGTCTCCTACGTTTACTGTCTCTAGGTAACTTCACTCATTCTAGTCGAAGTATTTTTTTTATCAGTTCACCTACGCATACCAAAAAAAAAGTAATTAAAAAATAAATACAGTAAAATCTCGATAGTAAAAAAAATTTTAAGCCATACCATTAACATTATCTATTTAATACTTTAATATACAGGATGATTTATAACACATTGAGCAGACTGAAAGGGTAGGTACTAGGAGTCAAATTGAAAATATTTTCTTAATAATTTTTACCACAACTTAATAATCACAAAGATATAGAACGTTAAAGTTATACATGTACGGTATTACACTACGTTTAAATTCAAACTGCGAATATTTCGGGGTTACTTAAACAATGCAAAATTAATAAAAATAATAAAACCATTATAATATAGCAGTTACGGCTATTTAAAAATTTGTTAAAACGCTCATACGGTGGTGTTTGTTTATTGAGAACCGCTGATACCATGTTTTTATTGCTGCCAATTCAGTTGATTTGGTTATTTAGCAGCGGACAAGTATTTTAATTATTCTTTACTGAAGATCAGCGGTTCGCAAAAATGGACGTTAAATTATGTAAAACATTAACATGCGATATCTATGTAACTATTAAATTTTTAACAAAACATTATTAAGAAAATCTCTTCAGTTTTACCTCTAGTACCTACCCTTTTAGTCTGCTCCGTATGTTATAAATCACCCTGTATTTAAGTATAAATATTAGCGCTCATAGATAGAATCTAAATCCCAAATTGAGTTATTCCGCGATTGTTGTATATTGAACGAAAATAAAACGTATTTTTTATTTTTCTTGTTCAATTTATAACCCTTTTTGATTTTTTTTAATAATTTTGACATACAAATGTCATCTTAACGTTTAAACGTCATTTTGACGTTTAAAAGTCACAACATATATCCCTAAAATCGTACCAACCTAAATTTTTGGAAATGGTTTTGATGAATATCGAATATTTCATACTAGTTTTTTTATAACTTTTTTGATTTATAGTAATATATTTCCCTAATTTTAGTACTTCCATAAGATTTTTTACATTAAATTAACTGATTTTTGAGTTTTTTGATATCTAAATTTTTAACGAAACAATTTTTGACGTTTAATTGTCAAATTGACGTTTAAAAGTCAAATAACTAAGTGTAAAGTTATTAAACTTAAAATTTATTATAAGAACTTTATTGTTTAATATTATCGGGATAATTTCGTGGGGAAATAACACATTTATTGTTTAATTTTTTGTATTAAATCATTATAAGTTAACCCATTTGCATCATAGGCTCAGATCCTTGAGGAACTACTAAAACTAGAACACTAGACTAGAACAAGAATCATTTGGGTTTAGCCCTGCGTCTAGGTTTACCCCCATTCTAGTTTTATACTGGCACTGTCACTAGAACTAATTCTAGATACAAAACTAAAAACATTCGGATTTAACCACACGTCTCTCAAGACGGCTAAACCCTAATGATTCTAGTTCTAGGTCTAGTGTTAGTTCTAATGATAGTATAAAACTACAACTAACACTAGACCTAGAACTAGAAAGTATCGGGTTTAGCCGTGCGTCTAAAGACAAACTTCTACAAAGTTCTAGTCACTAGTATTAGTTCTAATGCTAGTGTCTTGTTTTAGCTATTATTCGGTACTAGATTATATTACTAATACTAAATAATATCACTAATACTAGTATCTATTTGTTTATTCAAAAAAGAAAAATAAATAAATTAGGATTAATTAGAATAAAAGCTTGTTTTTTTTTAAATAATAGTAAATTGTGGTAATGATTAATTTTGTCGGTACGCTTCTCTTTATCTGTAAGGTCGTGCAATTTCATTTAACGACAATTGTATCTTTTACGTAACGGGGCCATTTAACGGATTCGTGGGCCGTCGCACATGATCCTTAATCCCGGGCGTTTGTTTAACGTCGCAATTAGACACAGAGACAGAGAAAAGAAGGCCCCCTCAGTTTCCGTCTTTTTGCGTAATTTACACGCCAAATTCGCTTCTTCCTTCAATCTAGCCTTTATTCACAATTAAAAAGAAACTATAAAGGAAACGTCTCTTTATGCCAAGTTTTTGCGTTACAACTTTATTCCTTTTTTTCTTTTAATTCGAATATTTCAATAAATTTCCTTGCTCTTCACTTTTCGTTATTGCATGAATGATGTTATCACTACCTTCTTCATCCTCTAATGGTAACGTGTATTTGTGGATGGTTTTGTTCCAATAAACTACATCGCCGGTTGATGCTTTTAAACTTTCGGTTCCTGTTTCTGTAAATTTCATTTTGATGCACTGAGAATTTTGTGGATTTTTAATTTGACACCGTTTCAAAAAAAAAGACAAGTTAATAATAACTCAAAGAAATGATTGCTTGGATAAAAAAGTCTCTCATAATTAAAAGTAATGAGTTGCGGTTGTGTTATATAAGATTTTTTTGTTGTGTTACATCTTGTAATAGGCAATTAAGTTTTATGATCAATTATTTATACTTTGTCAAAAAAAGAATACTTTTTTTATTCAATAAAAACTCAAACTCAAAATATTAAATTACTTAATGTAGCTATTGTATTACTTTTAGTAGTACTGGATTTCTTAGTTTTATTTTTTTTATCGTTATCGTTGTCCGTTTCGTCTCCATCCTCCCAATCTTCATCATCATCCTCGTCTTCCTCGTCGTCGTCTCGATAATATCGTTTTCTTAATCCAGGTCTACCGTTTCTTTTAAATTTCCTTCGTTTCTTTCTCTCCAAATATCTTTTAGGCGGTTTACGGATGGCCAAAATCATAACGGTATCCAATTTAAATTTGTCCCCTTTTCTCCTAATTATTCCGAAATTAGTACCTCTTCGCAATGCTTCCGGAATCATCGACATCGTTTGTTGCGTTGCAAAAAAATTATTTCGAATGTAATGTCTTATCGAATCGGCTGATGATTTCTTCAAATCTTTCAATGCGGTGAAAACTAAGCTGGACGCGTTTGCGATTGCTTTGGCATTTCTTGGACGTTTACCCATGTTAAATTTTTGATTTATTGTTTTTATGTACGAAAAAAAATTTTGTTAAAAAAAAAGGATATTATTATTAAAGTCAAAATGAATTTGATTGAAAAAATTCAATATTTTCTTTTTTTTTTTTTGGGTTTTCATGGTTACATCCAGAGGTCAATGTAAAGTAAAAAGAAATAAGACAGCCTATTGTTTCGCGACAATGAAAATGAGTGTTTTAAAATTATTTGCATTTTTGTGCGTGTATGTGTAAGGCTTTGTCATGTAAAATCCTTGAAATAGCACGCGATACTCGAATAAGTTTTGGTTTTAAATGAAAAATAACATTAATATGGCTCAATACATTTTTATAACATTTAGTTGTTAAAAATTTATTACTAAAATATTAAATAAGGTGAATCATTAATTGTTATTGAATTATAAAGGGTTATTTTAATTCTACTTGAGCCACCTTGGAAGACGCAATGCTAAACCCGAATGTTCTTAGTTCTAGAACTAGAAACCACATCTTAAGAGTGTCTAAATCAGAATGTTTTTTAAGACGTCTAAACCAGAATGTTTCTAGTTCTAATGTCCAAACAGAACCAAAGTCATCAACAATACCAGTTATTCATACTGAGTTTTCATCATTAATCAGGAATTGTTTGTAAAGATTGCTTTTCTGGTAAAACTAAATGTCCTAAGTCCATCTTATCATAGGTTACTTTTGATAACTTTTTTAATATCTTCATTCACGTTAATAAATCTTTAACCATATCAGTACTAATTAATGAGGGGTTACACCACTTTATAAATAATTCTGATCAACACATTTTTTCTAAGATAGAAATCGTGATAAAATCAAGCTTACCAGTAATCCCAAATTTTACTCCTATCTGCTTGGAACTCATAACCTTTCCAATATCCTTATATTTTTAATAACACAGTATACTGTTGATTTTGCAAGCTCTGCGAATAAAGCATTGTTATTCAATTTGATATTCTCAATCATAATCTTACCAGCAACTTTGACAATTTTATTTATACTGAGTTTTCGTCATTAATTAGGAGTTGTTTGTAAAGATTTAAACTACATTACATTTCTGGTAAAGATAAAAGTCCTAAATCCAACATCTTACGCTTTTACGGCAGCGAAACTTATTATTCAGATAACCTAACCTAACATAACCTAACATAACATAACCTAACATAACATAACCTAACATAACCTAACCTAACGTAACATAACCTACAAGTTCAAAGTGTTGTTAAAAATGAAGAAAAATCTCTGTGTAAACCTATTTCGCATTCAACCAAACTTGAAAAAGGTGATTTGTTCTTCCTGGTATAAAAAAAAGGTATAATTAATAATAATTATTGTTGAAATCCTACTCATTAGTTTGGATTACTTTCTCCTTGGAGTTGTAATACATCAAATGTAGCTAATACAAAATAAAAGTCGACGTGGTTTGTCTCAAGATCTATCTAAATCTTAGGTATAAAAGAAAAAAAAAGCTTTTGCTAACAATGAGTATATTTTTACAGAAAAAAAAGTTACAGATATACAAATAATAAATAATAAACCTCAATACCTTTGGTCCCATAAGTATATTATGTATACTGTGTGTATTTCTATACAATGATTATTAGTACAAATAAGTCTGTACAGTACAGAAAGAAAGGTAAATAATATACATAACCGATATCATAAATAATTGATTATTTTTAGGATTTTTCTCTAGAAAAAGAAGAGGAAAAGATAATTTTTCTTAAACTATACATAAAAAAGTAACATAATAATATAACAAAAAAAAAGTGTTTTCTTTAATAAAGTTTTGACTTAGGGTAGAAATTGAGCTTATCAATTCGTAGTTGATAAAAAAAACTAAAATAATAATGACTCAATTATGTACAAAAAATCTCCCGTTAGTTATTTAATTTATTAATTAATTAATAACAATAATAATTAACTTGAGAATTAAAATAAATTGGTAGTAAATACGTAAATGGTAATAATAACATCTTAATTAATCTTATTTTTTCGATTTTAAACCCTTTTTACCCCCAAAATTTCTTATCTCCAATAAAAGTTGATTCCTATTATCCACAGGTGACATTCCTGCGTTATTATTCATCGCTTTTTTAACGGGTTTTAATGTCGGTAAGACTGGTGGAGGCGGAGGAGGTATTACCGACAAAGAATGCCTCTGATCTGGTTTAACATGTTTCATATTATTTGAGTTATTCCTTAGCACAACATTGCCAAAAATGGGTTTACCACTCGCTGACTCAGTACGTCTCAAATTAGTTTGCGAAAACATATTCGGTTTATTATTCGAATTGGACTCTGTATTTGTATTATTTAGCGTGTTTTTATTACTGCTCGGCAATGTTCCATAAAAATCATTTGAATTTTGAATGCGAAATCCTTTAACAACAGGATTAAAACTATTATTTCTTATTACCGGTCTTAACATTGGTTCTTTTCGCGTCGATTCTTTATTTAAATTAAGATAACTTAAAGATTTTGGTTGATTATTATCAAAGTGTATTACATTATTAATAGTCGGTGGTAAATCTTGAAATTGTTTCTTTAATTCAACCGATCTTACAATCGGAATATGATTATCAATCGCTATCGAGTGTGGTCGAGGATTTTTTTGAAAAGGTTTTCGAAAAATATCGTTCCTAAATTGATTCGTAACTCGTTCCGATTCTTTTTGATCGTTATTTATATTTATAACGGTGGTGGTAACTGAATTATTATTATCACTTCCAATTTTAATACTCGTCCCAATCGGTTTTTTATTAAACGATGTACTATTTAAATAAACCGAAGACGATGAAGGAGTCGGTTTTAAACCCATCCCAAATTTATAATCCGTATCTTCTTTTAACGTTACTTCAGTTTTTGGTCTTTGTGACCAAGATCCCAATTCGATACAAGGGGGACCTTGGAAATATTGCCGCTTCGTTGCCACAGAACTAGTTTGAATTGGTTCTTCAATTATTTTTTTATCAGGTAATTCTTGAATGGGTGATTCTCTTTGGGATTTTTCTGAAATACTTGGATTTTTTTCTTGATCAGATGTATTAATAGCATCTTTTGAATTGGTGAGTTTGTTTTGAATGATTTTCATCACCTAAAAAATTACAATCAAAACGACGTAATAAAACGATAACTTTGTATTTATATAATTAATTATAGTAAAACCTCGATATAACGGATTCATTCTAGTTGTAAGTCTAGTGTTAGTTCGAGTTTTAGTTCAATAAAAATATGCTCTGTCACTAGAACTTACATTAGACCTAGAACTTAGTTCATTCGCATTTAGCCACACGTCTCTCAAGACGGCTAAACACGAATAATTCAAGTTCTAGCTCTTGTATTAATTCTAGTGATAGTGCTAGTATAAAACTAGAACTAACACTAGACCGAGAACTAGAAACATTCGGATTTAGCCGCACGTCTCTCAAGACGGCTAAACCCGAATATTTCTAGTTCTAGGTCTAGTGTTAGTTCTAGTTTTAATTGTAATTCAGTGCTAGGTTGTTGTATATTTTTATGGAACTATCACTAGATCTAGTGTTAGTTCTAGTTTTGCACTAGCACTATCACTAGAATTAACACAAGACCTAGAACTAGAATCATTCGGATTTAGCCGTCTTGAAAGACGTGCGGCTAAATCCGAATGTTTCTAGTTCTAGGTCTAGTGTTAATTCTAGTTTTAACTGTTATTCAGCACTTGATTATTGTACATTTCTAAAACCGAATGTTTCTAGTTCTAGATTTAAAAATTTAGACTAAAATTAGAACTAACACTAGCATTAGAACTAACATTACCCCTAGAACTACAAAAGGGGCCATTATTTCAAGGTTTTACTGTATTTATCTTTAAGAAAAGTTAATGATTAACGTAAATGAGCTAAGCAAAAAATAATAATTAAAATAGCAGTTAGCAGCGTGCTAATACTAACCTCTAAACTTTGCAATCCTGAAACATCTAACAAACTATTTGATCTTGAAACGGATTCTGTGTTGATTTGTTGCGGTTTTTCGTTGTATTTACTAAAACCAACCTGCGATTTTGATCTTCTAACGGGATTTAAAGACAATTTTGATCCAGAAAATGATTCAGACCGATTTACGACGTTTTCATTGATTAAATTCTTTTGATTCTTATCCGCATCGTTTTCGGTAACTCGATGAAATTTATCACTACTCCTTATAGTTTCATCTTCAAAAATATTAATTTTTTCTTTTTTCCCATCGTAAGTTGATATCTTAAAATTGGGTAAATGCCGATCGTGTTTGATTTCAACAACCGGTTTGGAAACGTTATTTTTCAAAAAATTCGGTTTCTCATTCTTAATAACGTCTTCTAATTCATCGAGGACGTCGGATTTCGTCGTCGATCTTTTATCACTATTCGTTTCACTTTGAGCGTATTTCAGACTAGTCGCTAATTCGCGTTTGTAAACCAACGATTTTCGTTTTTCCAAGTTTTCCAATGTTAATTTGTTGCAAATATCTTTTTCTTCGTAGATTTCTTCTTGGCTTATTACACTCGGTATATCGCTGGCTATCGATTGAACGTCGTTAATTTGTTTTAATTTTTCGAATAATTCCGGACTCGTTACAACTGAATCCGAAATCGTTTCACTGTCACAACTTGTGTAATTACATGTTCTCATCGCCGGACTTACATCACGAAATCCTTTTGGTGGTGAAGGTAATTGATATTTCCATTCTGTTTCTTTTTCAATATTATCTTTAATTTTTTCATTATTTTCATTGTCTTTGTTATCATTTATATTTTCCACTTTTTGTATACAACGTATTTCTTCTTTTTGTAAATTTTCTGGTATATTTTCTTCTTTTTTAATAACATCTTCTTTCGCAATAACTTCTTCAATACCTTTTTCAACAACATCTTCTTTTTCGGGAGTATCAGAAAGATTATTTTCACAAATCCCACTATCAACCTCATTTTTATGATCTAAATCGGACAATTCCATTTTATTTTCGAGATTAACTTGATTTTTCAAAACGACGATTTCATCTTCTTTTATTAAAGATGAAATTTCGTCTTGATTAGGCGTAATTTGCGGTTGAATTGTTGTTATAATCGGACTTTCTGGCGGTGAGTTATTTGTCGTAATATTTGTTGTAATGGATTCTGAAAGGAATTAATAAAATAAACTAAAATGATTTCTTAAAGAATTTTTTTTGTAAGCTACTCTCTACATTTGCCATTTTTCTTGTATTTACAGCATTAAAATCCCAAATAGAAAAAGAGAATGTAAGGTGATTGTTAATAAATATACAAGGTGGTGCAAAAGTTCCAGATTATTATAGAAGTTAATTAACTCCTTATCGCCGCTTGTGTACAAGCTGGACAAAAAGTTTTCTTTGCAAATTCCTTATTTGGAAAAATTTACTACCACGAGGTAGATTCTTGTTCTTGATGTCACTTGTACCATCTCAGGAAGTTTCCAGAAAGTGCCAATCTTGAAAAAAACGCGCGATAAGGAGTTAAGAGTGACTCTAAACTTTCTAGGAATAACAAGATTACTTTTGCACCACATAGTATAAACTAAAAACAGAAAAGTAACTAAGAATTCTATCCAAATAACCAAATTTTTTATATATACACGAGAACCAACAAGAAAAACATTCAAAAAAAGCTAACAAGACACTTTTATTAGTAATAATTAACATGCCTGTATCAGAACTATCTCCAACAATCCACTGTTTATTTCTCACTCGAATACTTCCATCGGAAATATTCGAGATATTATCCAACTCTAAATCATTATTCCACTTTTTAATGAATCCAGGTATACTATCCATACTTCTCAAACTGGAAACGGATCGATTCGTATTCATAGTTTGCTCGTCGCGATCGATCGTATGGATTCCTAACAGTTCATTTCGTTTTTTCTCGCCACTTTTATGTTTTTTAATTTCTTGCGGTTTCTCGAAAATATCTTCCTTAATATCCAAATCAAAATCGTTGGAAGCGTCCTCTTCGCTTAATCTGGAGGAAGAAACCGATCTATGATCTGATAAACAATTTTCTTCGCTGGTTGTTGCTAAACTAATCCGATCCGATTCCGTTTCCATGTTAATCATAGAAGCCCCGATATGGAAACCTCTGGAACGGGTTAAGGTATCGAAATTAGTCGATTTACGCTTTTTGGGGATAACCCCAACGATTTCCGGTTTAGAACTTTTTGAAACACCGCTGTTTAATGATGTATCACTTAATAAACTATCCATGGAATGAGATTTATTTAAATTTAAAGATTGATCAGAATAAATTGATAAATCATCGTCCTTTATTAAATCTTTCGGTTCGATATCAACACTCTGAGTGTCTTGTTCGTCTACGTTTAAATCCATCGAAGCTGAATCAATATCCGGTTGATTTATTAGTATTTCGTTGCTAGCTTCAGTTAATAATGAATGATTTTCTAAATCGATTGGTGATTTTAAACAATTTTCTGTAAATTCTATTTTATTCTCGTCATTTTTAATTGAATCTTTTATGCTAGATTCTTGATTATGATTGATATCTTGATTTAGGAAAGTAATCGAGCGATTATTTTCGTTATCAATTATAACACTGGATGATTCTGACGATTTTTGTTTTCTGGGTGCAGGTACAGGAGCGTTAGTACAAAGGCTTGCACTTCTACCAAGTGTGGTTGTTACTACAACAGCATGCAATTTAAAGCGTTAGTAATAATAATTGGATTAGTAATTAAAAAGGAAAGAAAGAAAAATGTTGTTAACTACCTACACCATTAATGTTACTACTTTAAAACTTTAACGTATTAATCTGTATGACACCCTTTTGTATCATCATCACATCATAAAGATTCGATGACGTTAAAGAATTAAAGAAATTAAATTAAACAAAAGTTTTTAATTCCTCAGAATAAATTTTTTGAATTAAATTAACTCCACTGGCAAAGGCGTTATAATTTGGATTGTTGTCCAATAAACTTTCGCAAGAAATTCTACCGAAGCCAATCGCCTTGAAACTATCAATACTTACGCTTTTATAAGGGCTAAACTTCGATAGAGAAGATTTAAAACTGACCGTCGTCCCGGTTAATGAAAGATTCGATCGATTTTTTTCGGGACATTTTTGGAATTTAGGCGAAGCTTTTTTGTACAAAGCGTGCAAAGATTTTCCAACGGAAGTGCGCAACAGCGAAAATCGATCGTGAATATCGCGAAAAAAACGGGAATTTAAAAATTGGGACGTACCTGGAATGGTTTCTATTGGTTGACTAGCGACTACCGGACTAATAGTGGTTTCTACATTATCAACTTCTTTTTGGATCGGTTTTGGTGGAGGCGGCGCCGCTTTCTTTTTTCGCGCTAAAAAGAATCAGCAATAAAAAATAATCTCGTTTTCGTTTGATTAAATTAAAGTATTTTCCATACCAAGTACACCTAAACTTGACATCGATTTTGAATGGCTTTGCATCTTCTCCAAATTACTACTAGAACTTTTATTATTCAATTTGGCACGATTTCCATTTTCATCGTAAATTGATTTCGGTCTTCTTGGTAAAGAGGTATTACAATTTTCACTAAGAACTGATGCCTCGTGATATCCAGAACTATCACTACTATTTCTTGAATGACTAATAATTAGGCCGTTATCAGTTTTTGAAGGACCAGTTCCATTTGAAGGTGGGTGAATGTGGTTGTGGGTTGTTTCAATCGTTGGATTTTTCGCTTCAATCGGTTGCTGTTGAGTTGGCATCGGTGGTTTTGGTGCTGGTCTTCTTTTTCTTTGTGGAGGTTTCGGCCTTTCTTGTGGGGGTTCTTTGGTTACTGGAGGAGGCAGGGATTTGGTATTTTCCGTTCGATCTAGTTGATGAGTTAAAGGTGGTTCTTGAATAATCTAAATTATTAAAAAAAAAGTATTATATTAAAACGATTATAGACATAGAACTAGAATCATTAAGATTTAGCAGAGTGTCTCCTAACATGGCTAAAACTCGAATGTTGCTAGTTCTTGGTCTAGTGTTAATTCTACTTCGTTCATTAAAAATATACAATGATTTACCGCTGAATAACAATTAAAACTAGAACCAACACTAGACCTAGAATTAGAAACTTTCATGTTTAACCATGCGTCTAGTTCTAGTTTTACACTAGCACTATCACTAGAACTATACAGATTATAAGTTTACAGACTTTTACACAGTTATTTGACTTTTAAACGTCAATTTGACAATCAAACGTCAATATCGTTAAAATACATCTCAAAAAACTCAAAAATCAGTTATTTAATGTAAAAATCTTATGGAAATACCAAAATTAGCGAAATATATTACTAAAAATCAAAAAAGTTATCAAAAAACTTGTATGAAATATTCAATATTCATCAAAATATTTCCAAAAATTTAGGTTGGTACGATTTTAGGGATATGCGTTGTAGCTTTCAAATGTCAAAATGACGTTTAAACCTTAAGATGACATTTGTATGTCAAAATTATTAAAAAAATCAAAAACGGTTATAAATAGAACAAGAAAAATAGAATATCGATAGAAAGTTGAATGGAAAATGGAAAACTATAACATTTATCCGAATGAAGTAAAAATATTATTTGACTTTTAAACGTCAACTTGACAATTAAACGTCAACATCGTTAAAGTAAGTAGATATTAAAAAAAAACTCAATAATCAGTTAATTTGATGAAAAAATCTTTGTGAAATATTAAAAGTGGCAAAATATACTGATATATCATAAAAGTTGATTAAAAAAGTTGATAAAAGGCGATTCCGGCAACTATTTATGCATCGTCGTAAAACTGGTTGTATATTCAAAATTTTTATTTTTAAATTTTAATAACAATTACTTAATAAACACATAGAATTAAGTACTTACTGATTTAGGTCGTTTAAAAATGAGGTTAAAAACCCCTCCACCAGTTTTAGCTTGAAATTGTTTCCTTTCTTCCTCTTTTCGTAAAGCCATAATATCGCTAGAAGAAAAAGTTTGCACCAATCTTCCGCTACCTTTTCCAACAACATAAATTTCAGTAATTTGGTAGTCGCTTAATGTGAGATTAGGATCCAAAACCTCATCTAAATTACCTGTAATTATAAAATTTATAATTAAATTGTTTAATGGGGTTATTAATTTTTTACCTGGATGTCTTAATTCGTATTTCGCTGGATCTAATCCTTTTTCTTCGCAAACTTTTTTAATTATCTCCTCTAAGTAGACGCTTTGGCTCACTCTAGTAACGTAGAGTTGATTTCTAGGCAGGTGAACCTTTAGTCTAAACGTGCTTTCGAAAGGCTGATGACCCAATGAAGAAACTTTTGTAAGACCGGATGACGTTTTGTTTTTTGGTACGACTTTAATGTGTTGAGTGTCCAACGCCCCAATTGGGGTATTTGGTTTGTATGGTAAAACCCTTTCTCCAACGCCGCCGGATCTTGTCATATCCATCGCTTCCAAGATATGTCCCGATAATTGGAGATTATGAACCGTGGTTATTTGAACTAACAAATCCATCATAGGTGTACTGAAATTATTACGCAACTACTTTATTATTTATGATATTTAGATAGTTAGTTTTTGTCGATTTTGTAATAGTTTGTTGTTCTAAATATTTCTTTAGGATTGCGAGAGTTGATTTATGATAATTGGGGATTAATGAGCGTGTAACAAGGTTTAAATTTTCGAAATAATTAATAAAAGGCGCATAATGTAACAAAACAAAAATAATTTATTCGTAAGTATATACAAAACTATCTATTTAGCAACATCAACAATAAGAATTTATAATTTATGCATAGTTTATCTGATAATTTGAGTTTCGTTATTAATCTTCGTTTCCACCATGATACCAACTAAAGGCCTTCGCTGCAGGATTCTCCGCGTTACGCCTGGTTACCGAAACACCTCTTCGCACTTCTAATTTAAGACCATCCTCTGCTCTATCAGCAGTTTTTTTCAAGATTCTTAATTTATATGTTCCGTCTCCATCTACATCTCTCGTACGGCGCAATTCAGACGCTTTTTGTAATTGTTCACCCATCATTTCCTTCATCCATTTCCATTGTTCTTCATCATCAATCATTATTTCTCGTTTTCCCCGACGCTTTTTTCGATCCCCATCATTTTTTTCTTCCCTCTCTTCCTCTTCACCTTCTTGTTCGTTACTATTCCCTTCTTGACTTCCACTATTGTATTCCGATCCTTCCTCTTCTTCTCCATCACCTTGTTTTCTTTCATTTTCATTCGATGAATAGGAATCTTTAAAATCTTTAAACCAATTTGGTGTCCAATCTTCCATAATCCATTTCCAACTACCATCTTCATCTTCACCTTCTTCTTCTTTTTCTTCTCGGTTATTATTATTTTCTTGTTTTTCAGTTCGACGATTTTGATTTTCTTTATTGTTTTGTTCTTGAGAACGTTCTTCTTGTATTTCTTCAGAACTTTGATGATTTTGTTCTCTATTTTCTTCCTCGGTTTGTTGTTTTTGTGGTTGTTGATATTCTCGTTCATCTTGTTGATGTTGTCTTTGTTGTTGATTTTCTTGTTTTCTTTGTGATTGATTTTCTTGTTCTCTTTCTGATTGATGCTCTTGTTCTCTTTCTGATTGATGCTCTTGTCCTCTTTGTGATTGATGTTCTTGTTGTCCTCCATTATTTTCCCTTTCCTTTTGTTGTTCCCCATCATTCCGTTGATGTCCTTCTGATACTACACCATTCCAATTTATCCAACTATAACTTTCAGGTTGTTGATGTTGTCCTCCTTGTACTTCATCCTGTCTTTCTCTTTGCGACTTTTCAACACGTTGATATTGTCGCTCTTGTTGATGTTCTTGTTCTCTTTCTGATTGATGTTCTTGTCCTCTTTGTGATTGACGTTCTTGTTGCTCTGCATTATCTTCCCTTTCTTTTTGTTGTTCTCCTTCATTCCGTTGATGCCCTTCTGATACTACACCATTCCAATTTATCCAACTATAACTTTGTGGTTGTTGTTTTTGACGTTCTTCTTGTTGATGATATTGTCTTTCAACTTGTTGCTCTTTTTCTCGTTCCATCTCTTCTTGCTGTTTTCTTTGATATTCTTGTTGTTGTTTCGCTTCTTCACGTTGCTGTTGCTGTTCTTGTTCTCTCCGTTTCTCTTCCCGATAACGTTGTTGAGCTTCTTCTTGTTTTCTTTGACGATTTTCTTCTTCTTGACGTTCTCTTTCCTGTTGTTGCTTCCTTTGTTCCTGCCGTTGCCTTTTTTCTTCTTGCTCTTTTCGTCTTTGTTGACGTTCGTATTGTTCTTCTTCCTCTTGTTTTCGACGTTGCGCTTCTTGTTGTTGCTTTTCTCTTTCTTGTTGCAATTTTTCACGTTCTTCTTGTAATCTTTCCCGTTCTTGTTGCAACTGTTGTTGTTCGCGTTGATATCGTTCTTCTTCTTCTTGTTTACGTTGACGTTCTTGTTGTTGTTGACGTTGTTTTTCTTGTTGCTGTTTTCTTTGTTCTTGTTGTTGCTTTCTTTGTTCTTGATATTGCTTTTCTTCTTCTTCTTCTTGACGTTGTTTTTGCATACGACGATAATGTTGTTCTTCTTGTTGTTTCTGTTGACGTTCGCGTTGACGCACCTCTTCTTCCTTTATTTGATGTTCGTTATTTTGTTCAAGTTTTTGTGGTTGCCAATTTTGCCAGTTATAATTTTCTTGCATTTCTGGTTGTGATTTTTGTTCTTGTTTCGGTTCTTCCTCCACCATTTCATAACGTTGCTCGTAACGATATTCTTGTTGTTTCTCTTCAGGTTGTTTTTCTTGTTTACGTTCTTCTTGTTTAGGTTGTTCTTGTTTTCTTTCATATCGATACTCATATTGTGTAGGAGTTTTCTGATTCGTTTTTTGATTTTGTTCCTGCATTTTTTTTTCGTGCTGTTGTTGTACCCAATCGAAAAATTCTTGTTGGTATTTTTGATCTTCGGGATTCATTTTTTGAGCTTCCTTCTGTTGCTGCTGCGTCCATACCCAACGACCTTCTTGTTCTTGTTCTTGCTTAGGTTGCATCTGTTCTTGACGTTGTTCGTGATATTGCTTCCTTCGTTCGTGTTTTTCTTCTTTATCTTCGCGTTGGAGATGTTCATCTACGTGTTCATTCTGCTTTTTCATCTCTTTCCGCGGCCCCACCTTCACCCATTGATAATATCCGTGTTGATGAGGTTGCGTTTTTATATTTGCATTTTCAACGCTTTGTTTCCAAATATTACCATGATGAATTTGTGGTTTATGTACTTGGTGATATATTTGTGGTTTTTTTGGTGGAGGATGATGTGCTTTATATTGATGAGCTTTTTCAAGACTTTTCTTAAGACTGCTTAACTTTTTATTCCACCATAACTCCCATAACAATTTTTTTATGGCATCCCATTTAGCTTTCTTCCATAAATAAGAATCGGGGTCGTGGTGATTCGCTTCATGATGATTTTGCCTCTTGATTGTTGCAACCCAATTGTCGTGGGTAGCTGGCGGGGGTTGCTTCCAATTGAAGTCTAGCGCACTGACTACACAGAGTATCGCTGCTAAAGCGACTAGTTTCAGCATGACTAGGTGCGAAAGGACTAAACTGTGTCGTTTGGCGATAATGGATATTTATATAAACCACCACCGCAAAACTTTAAAATTAGCCCATGTCCGTTCACTTGGGTAATTTACAAATTTACATCTTTGATTACAATATTACCGTGAAATTCATACTGTAATGACCTAAATTATATATTGACAATTCACTTTCAAATTTATTTAATTAACACAATTCTGTATTAGTGTCTCAATTAAAATATTCCATACCAGTTTATATAATTAACCAAAATTGCTTCAATAATGAAAGGAAATTTCTAATAAATAAGTACATATTGTTTTAATAGAAAATATATACTTAGTTTTATCTTCATAACTATAAATTTTTGTTATAATCCATAAAATTAAGCTCAGCTCAAGTGGAAATAATTACATTCGCTGGCATAAGCAGTAACGTGTTTAAGTGAAATTCTATGCTTTCTACAAAGTAATATGGCTTTTTGATTATAAACCGGAATGGTGGTCTAGATATCAATGATATTTGTAATCGTTTCGGTGAAAATGTTATATAAACAGCCGCGAAATAAAATGCTATTTTTGAAATTACTGCGTCATTAAAAAATTTTTCAAGTAAATACTTGAAATAATTTACAATCTTTTGCAAATATGTAGGTACTTAATATTTATTTGCTAGAATTGGATGTGTTTAAACGAGGGTAATAAAGATAAAACTCTTCAAATTTAGTTATAGAATAAACATTTATTTCATAAAATAATAAAACAAGTAGAATAACATAACATGTCCAAGACAATTAAATTAAGTAGTATTTTCAACAAAAACATTGATTATCCAGTTTTACCATCCTTTTGGAATTGGATGAATCGCTTTTCCTTCTCTAATCACTTTCGCATTAAACCCATTTTTATCATCAGCCTCATATTTAACAATCCTTATAGTTCCATCAGGTTCAAGCAGTGAATATTCCCCAACGACTCTATCGCCTTTTCTCTCCTCAATTTGTTGCTTTTTATCTCCAGTTTTTGCATCTTCTACTCCATATTGAAACTCGTATTTTGGAGGTGCATAATAATCGACAACCCTTTCTAATTTCTTATCACCAGATAAACCCCATTGAGCATTCACCACACTGATTATAACAGTCAAAATCACAAACTTAAACATCTTAATTATCTTTAAATATATTAATAATTTCTTGGTGTGGTTGAATTAACTGAAGATTGTTACTCTTAGATTCAGTTTATATACACCAAGAAACCCCCAGATTTCTTAATTTTAAAGATTTGGTTTGCTTTCGAAATTTGTGGTTTAACCCAGAAATGTTTACCATGCAAGTTCATCTTCTATTGCGTCATAAATCAATAAAAAAGTTTTTATAATTTCTTTTTGCTTATAAAATAATAATCTTTTATTTTTGAAAAATAGGAAATATTAATCGATTTGATGTAACAATCGCATGATGTAATAACCGTTGGATATAACGTGATTATACCGGTACGTTTTGATAAAGTAAAAGTTAAATAACGCCCAGATGTCGTTGGTAATTTCAGTTTGTAACGCATATAAATAAGAGTTTCAATTTGTGCTTAATCATTAACGCGGTTATTGATTTTGAATGATGTACAACTCACCTTCTTTCAACGGATAACTTCACGCATCTACCCGTTGGTAAGTGAACCGTTAAGTCCATAGCTCCCGCGAGCATATCCGGTGGTGTGTCCTCCGTTATATGCATCATTGTCACCGTACTCCTAGGAGATCTATAAAAAAATAAATCTAGATAATAAATATAAATAATAAAAATTAATTGAGATAATAAATTTTTTTATGATTTTTGATTTAATAGATAAATGCATCATACTTGATGAGAGGTTTTACCACAGATTAAGTTAATGAAACGATACATAACTCATATCTATATAATTTATTTGTTCAAATATAAAACCACACCATTTTTGTTATAAAACTAATGTTTTTAGGTATAAGTAATAATTCACATAATAATATAGGTGGGCAAAAAATAGTGAAATCATGTAATTACTTGGAAAATGCGAAAACATCCAAGCCCGGAACATTTCAGCAGAGTTTATAGTGGAGCTTTATGTCCACCATACATAAAAAAGGAGAAAGACAAAATTGCGAGAAATATAGAGGTATAGTAGTGACGGGCAAGCTATATCAAGTATATGGCAAGATTGTAGTCAATACAATTAAAAAACGTAGCTTACATGTCATGATCTCGTTTTTCGAGAAACTGCTAATGCCAAAAACCTCAAAGCGCTATCGTCTTTTGTTTTTCCCCTAGAGGCCAAAATTGAAAATATCGTAAAACCAGCAAGTTAGCCGATTCAGAGATCGAATTTGAACCATCCTGTACAGAGATATGGAAGTAGAGGAACATGCAGAATTCTGGGTTAGATGATAAACATTGATAAAAATAGATCATCTCTTTTGTGTCTCCTAACTAATGGAAAAAACAACATATAATCAAAAAACAATCTAGTATTTATAGACCTAAAAAAGAATATAACAGCAACCCACAAACTTATCGACTTAAGCAGAGGTGCTGCCTATCCACGACTTTGTTCAAAATACATCTAAAGTAAGTACTAAAACAGTGAAAAATAAAATACAAAAATCTGGATTTCTTATTAAAGTGCTGCGTTAGTTTGCTTATTATGGCAGGTTATGCATTGATTTTGATTTTGCGATGAATCATAATTAAAAAAAAAATTTCAATTCTCAATAAATCCATAGATTGCTTGTTTGATACTTATTGCCTTTTATCAACACGAAAACGTTATTTTCTGATAACAAATAATTAGTTGAGTAGACTTGAAAAAATGTTAAAAGCTTCGTAAAGATTGTTGACTTTTTTTGGGTATATTGTTGATAGAGTAGGTCAAAATATAATAAAAAAAAACAGTTTTGAAACATACAGATAAGAAAATGCATTCTTACGGTGTTAAACGTCATTGAATTGGTATTCGAGTGTATAGATAAGAATGCGACGTTATTTATTTTTTTAGTGAAAACATAGACATCGTCCTTGCATAACTTCGACGAAATGAGTTCAATCAGATTTAGTAAAAACGTGAATATTTTGTTGTTTTTTTTAATGTAAACGGAAAAGTCTTTCGCTCTTTATACTGAATATTAACCCAGAAAATAAACAGATGGGAAAGTTTGTCGCGAGACGGCGAAATGTACTTTTCCCCCTGATCGCACCGAGAAGATAAATTAAATTGCGCTAACCTAGAAACAATTAATGCTCACAAGGTGGTAATTTCTATTTTAAACTCGATTTCTGTCACTTCACAGATATGACTAACAGCTTCACAACTTTAGCTTTCTTCTTTAAATCATATTGAAGATTAACTCAACCGTGAAATATGTTAATACAAAAAGATATTCCAACTTTAATTGGATATAGAGAAGATAATCGTTGATCTCTAAAAAAATACACAAAAAAATGTACGCAATCGTTGTAATACAATGGAAAATTTCTCTCGTTACCGCAAAGATGGGCTTGGCTTAAACAATACTTTTACAAAACCAGACTCAGTCTGGCGTAACGCGAAGACCTACTGTTATGGGTTTGGATACTACGAAAATAATTCCTTTTTAGTCGTCATTGTCGTTTGACGGGGAGGGTAAAGTATTAGCTTTCTCAAATCGAGACGGAAACGACAGCGATTTCGTGATTATTTGCTATATATAAAGGAATCGTGTGTCCTTATCTAGGACGAATTCTCGCGGATTATTAGAATTATAAATAGTCTCTCCGGATAACTCGATCGGTACGAAAACCAAGAGAAAGGTGGAGTTATCATTGAGTATACGCCCGAGGCTCCTCTAGAAAGCGGCCTTGTAGGTCAACCGCTGAAGACGACGATGTCAGACAACCTCATTCACCTGGGAATCGACTAAAGTTATGCGATGGAATAACGAATTTATAACAATCATGTATAATCACCTTGAAAGTTATACAAATATTTATTCGAGAGAATTCGGTACCACTTTTTAGTATCCAAATATTTTTTCAGCTGATAAAACAGCAAAACTTTTTCTTCAATGAGAACCACTCTTTATATACAGAGTGCATTCATCCAAGCTTAGAGACAAGATTTTTTAACACTTTTAGTAACAATAACCTCAATTTTTCACAAAAAACTTTATTAAATCTCATCACATACGATTTTGCTAAAATTACATCTCTCACGAGATATCTATCTTTTTAAATTCTTCATCAATCTGCTCCACTTTCCTTACAATTATTATTCAAATGATTATTCATTGGATGATCTTGTTTCATAATGAAAACGAATTTACAATGACATCCTCAACATTTGTTCTTCTCACAGATTCCAACGACACATTAGACTCATCGAAACAGATCCTAAAGTAGAAACTGCACTGTCAGAGAGACAGAGGAAGAATAAGGACCAGCTGGAGATTGATGAGAATTTTTTGCATAGTAGCAGAAGAGGTACTTAATAATTCTTATCAAGTTATCCCTCCAGATTGGCTGCGATTATTTTTGCCAGACGGAGTCTCAAGCTTTTTCAACATTTAATATCTCTTTTGGACAAGTTCTAATATGCTAATGAGATGCGCAACTTGCTGTATACTTCCTTTATGATCCTTAAACCAACCTTGATCCTTCGATCCTTTTCTTCGATATCTTTTTGTAGTAGTTCCAGCAGGATTCTTATTTTGAACGGGTAGTAACAAACTTTTCTATGAATTTTAGAAACCCAAAATCATTGTTTCACTAACTTCATGACTTGCAGTCTTGGAATTTCAAGAAGCATCTGTTCTGCCTAGCTTGATACACCATCTATTTGGTCTATGCTAATTTTTTACCACAACTTTAAGTCTTCCATGAAATTTGCAATCTTGCAGTTTCGAAAAATATTGACAGGTCAAATACGACGATAACATTAACGAAAATACTGATAGTTTGGAATGTCTTGTTTTGGAATAACTAAATCTGGCAAATAAGATTTTAAATTATCTAAAATCTCTGTTAGATTTTAACGGGAATATTGTTAGAAACGATCATTCAAAAATCTGTTTGATTCAAAGTCCCCGTTATGTTCATTTAATTAACGTAGATTGACGAAAAAAAAAACGACACATTACATAGACCAGCAGTCGACCAGAACAGGCGAAACGGTCGTAAATTATCCTAACCTCTTTGCACTGCCCGCGAGTGATGTAGCAGAACCCGTTTTTCTCATCGAGCCCAAACAAATAAATTATATAGATCCGGATGCGAACCCGTTACGCGATCTCTAAAACGTTTTGCTTTGCTTCTTATATTTATCCACAATTGAATAAAGCGCGATATTGTCACCTATCTCAACGCAAATAATTAATTTCTTATAATGCTCAAAAACAATAGCTTTCTTTAATGAAATAATCTTCGAAAGTAATAAAAGAACGATATAAAATGGTAAGAATCAATTTCGTTTTAATTAGAAGTGGTTAAATTTACAGGTTCACACAATTTCCTTGACTTGTCTATGTTTTTTATCGGATAATATCAAAAACTGATAAGGAATAAAATAACGACCGCAAATCGATACTTTCTGATCTCTTTCAAAATACCTTTAGAGAAATTTACGATGATTTTATGTGATTTATATCATGATAACGACCTCTCTCTCCAAAAACCAAGCGATTGCACATTTTGTATCCATTGCGGTGGCATTCTTTCGTTCCTAACAATGCAAGCGACGAAGATGGCGAAGAATTCAGTTAGAAAGTGTCGGGATAAAAACCTTTTTTTCAACTTCTGCTTCTTTATAGGCGAAAAATACTTGACTTGATGTGGGAAGATTTAACTAAATGAACGGAAAACGAAAGTAGTAAAACGAAACAATCAACAATGGCACTACTCTTTTGTATTGTTTAATTCAAAAAAAAAACTTTGGGATGAATAAGCGTTTCTTTTTGCAATAGAGATTCTTAAATAGATTTGTGCAAAAAAACGATGCTGCACCGAGATTCATTCAATGTTACGCGTTGACCTCAACGTTACGTAACACCCGGTATTGTTTGATGCACGGTTATTTGTTTATCGACAACTTGCAAAACGGGGCTATATTTGTTTTATTCTCAAGGCGACTAACGAATGGGTTACAATTTACAATAGCGCGAGAGCGCGTAAACAATTATTTGCGAGCGACGTGGTAATTTAATAGTCGAGGATGCGCTTATTTGATTTAAGTTCGAATATGGACGACCTCATTAAAATAACTATTCTAATACGAGAAGATGCGTTTTATTGTGTCATTATCTACGTTACCTTGAGTTTACGATTAATAATTATTACGTTATTGTTAAAAAAATATGAATGTAATGGCTGCATTGCGGACAATAAAATGTGTGTGTGAGCAAATATTTATTTTTCTATGTTGTTTTTAAATGTTTAGAATGCTAAGTCAATTTGTCCAAAACATTTGAGATTGCGATTGGGAAATGTGCTGCTTGATACAAAGAAGTACACCAGTTGATATCGATTTTGGTTCAAGAGTTCTGTAGTTTCGAACAATTCTGAACCAACACCACTAAGCACCAAGCACGCCTCTTCCCAAATTTGTTGGCTCTCGAGTAGGACTAAATAATTGTTGATAAAATTATTAATCAAAACCATCATTTGTTGATATTTAAATCGATTACTACAGTAAGCCTATTGATTGTACCGCACATGGAAAGAGTGACTTATATTTTATGTTGACATAACCAAAAAGGA